CAGTGCCGTCGCCTGGGATTACTGTGGTGTGTTCCTCACGCTTCCTGGTGGCTTGCACAGATGCTGTCTCTTTGTTAAAGATATGAAGTGGCAGTTCTGGTAGTTTTTGTTCTTTTGTAATTGGTGAAATGTTTAATTGGGTAAGTTATAAAGTGCTACTCTGAAATTCTGTTTTGTAAGCCTACAGAAGGGAGTTAGGACAGGTGCAACTTTTCTGCATTGTTATCAGCTTTCTGGACAGCGGATCTGCTCTCTCTTAAGCCAGTATCTTGTAGCTGATCGTTACCAAAAGATCTTTTGGCCCTTTGACACTAGTCATCTCACACTTTTAAGAACAAGAGAGAAAATGAAAAAAGGATTTTTCCCCTTCAGTGCTTTTTTTCTATCTGTGCTTTGCCAGGGTAATTGAAGCAGTGTCTTCTCTTCTAAGTCATTACATAGCACAGCTGCTGCTTAATTATCTAAATAAAAACAGCCACCTCAAAGCCTCAGGGAAGATGTGTGAATAACGTATAGAACCTCAAAAGTGTCTCTAGTAGTTAGTGTATATACACATACAAATCCTTTTTTACGTATGTATCCAATAAGATTCAATACAAGTTGTATATAAGCATTAAAACTGCTATACCACGTTAGAAATATGTTCCAGTCAGTCTTGTTTCTTAGCTAAATATTAACTGATACAGAGTATTTCTACTAAAGAAAAAAGTACTTTTTATACAGTGATGTCACAGCTCATTTGTTTTGTTTTTCTAGTGAAACTGAGAAGGTTACTTTATACAAAAAGTACCTTGAGTTCGAATGTCCTGCAGCCTCCTGTAAAATTAAGGTAGGGAGTTGAACAAAGTTGTTTTATTTTTTTGTCTTTTTAATAATTTAATTGACTGAATTGCATTACTCTTAGTCAAATTATCGTTTTTATGCACTTCATCACTTTATATAAAAAATCTGTTAGATGGTACTTTGTCTTGATGGCAGTGTTATTTTAAATTTGTATCACAGTTTCCTTTAATGAAGACTATGAGAGACTTAATATAAGCTGAGGGGAAAAAAATTTATAAGTCCGATAAACTGCACATAATCAACAGTTGCTATGTAATTAAAGCAGTTAATTCATGAGAATCTGTATGGCCACTGTTCTTAAGTGCTTAAATCAAGATCTGATTTATCTTTGGGTCATGCAGGCACCTCTGTTTCAGTTAGAATTTTCCAAAGACTAAGAGCAAGGAGAATTTGGCTTTATTGCCTTGGAAAAGAGTTCGTGGTTGTTTTCCCAAGACTCACAGAATAATCTATTGTTGCATACATAAAAAGAAAATGTGCAACTGTGCTTTTCCTAACCATTTTTTTTTTCTTTCTTGCGATAGTTGGTTTCCATTGGTGAGAAACAAAGAGTACTCATCAGTAAAATAATTGTACAAGTGAAAACAGGGTCTGCAAAACTAGCGACTGATTTTCCTTCACTAGGCTCAAGCATAGATCTAGACAGAGTGCAAAGTATAATGGAATCTATGGGGTCTAAGTTGTCTCCAGGTGCTCAGCAACTCATGGACATGGTCCGATGTCAGCAGAAAGTAAGTCATTGTGCTTTTCCATAAACATAAATAGTACTGATCTGTGACATTACGTTCTGTTAACAGTTAAGCATGTTCTAAACTGATTTGGTGAAAAAGATTTTTGATTATTTTTTCTAACCCAAGCTTTTTTTGTTTTTAATCCTGGTTTAGCTGTTGCCACCCTTAAATAAGGAGTGCAATAAATAAAGATTGTGTACTCAAGGAGTCACTGTGCGTACACCAAGTCCAGAGTTAAGAACTCTGTATCATCATAATTTTAAACTTCACTGACACCCTGCTCTCCTTTTGTTCGTTTCCATTGTCGCTGCTTGTCAAGGGTGATGGGCATGTTCCCTGTAATGTTTGGGGTGTAGGCAGATGGGCCTGTTTGTCTCATTTATTGTCATTGAAAGCATGTCACCTTCGACTAAAGGGAACATGTTCTTTCAGAGCATTTATTTGATTTAGATCTTAATCCTGCAAAGTAGGCTATTTTAACAGAATCCTGAATTCATCTGATGTTTGTAATGTTCAGTCTTGGGGACAGAGCATGGGAAAAATGAAGTCAGTAAAACTATTTTGTTACTTGGAGACTGACAAGATCATTGACATATATGTACAGGGAAAATAATTTCCTGTGCTTTTCCCTAAGGAGTATAGTTCAGAACTATTTTAAGAACTTCACATTGCACTAGTAGAATGCTGAGTTACAAAGTATCTATTGTTGTTGTATAATTTCCAGTGTATTTTGCCACTTACATGTTAATCGTATTGTTTTTATTTTCATCAGAACAGTTTACCTCTTGGAGACAAACTTAATTGGATCTTTGGGAAGAATTCTGAATTTGGAGATGACCATGCAGTAGATGAATTGCGCAGTGCAGCTATTCAGACATCACTAGATCAACCTGCCAGCGAACCTTTGGCTCTTAAAAATCATTTAACAAGTGAAACAGTAAACGAAGACTTAGAAATAAGTCACGGTCTGAACACACAAATACCTGAAAGCGGGAATACTTCTGATTCCGAAAGACTTACTACCCCGCAAAATACGGTTAACCTTGGAAATGGTTTTAAAGTCATGAGATCATTGCATATGCAGGAACAAGCGCGTGAAACCCCAAATGTAGCTAACCTACAGGTGCTTTTTCCTTTTCTTCAAAACTTATGTAGTCAGGTGAATCATCTTCGGCTGAAAGATGGTGATAAGCGTTTTGGTAAAAATGCAGTGACTAAAGAGGAAGGCATTCAGTGTGATGGGTAAGTTAAGTTTGGTACATTTATTAAGCTAGTAGTTTGACTCTATTTATTGACAAGTTTAAAAAGTAAAATAGATAATGTAAGCATTTCATTATTAACAGCAATAGTGAGTCTTAAAATATGTGCTTTTCAAGGCTGTGTGGCGATGAACACAATTACAGTTAATTTTTCAGATTAGCTGCTTGAACACAGTAGTTTTTTCAGAAGAAATAACATAATTTGTTGTTGCTAAGCTGTTTGTATCTTTTGCTTCCACTTCATCTTTTATGGTTTCAAAAAAAAGTGTGGTATTCAGGCTGGATGTGGCTCTGAGCAGCCTGGTCTAGTGGTTGGCGGCCCTGCATATGGCGGGGGGGTTGAAACTCGATGATCACTATGGTCCTTTTCAACCCAGGCCATTCTATGATTTCTGTAATTTCATATACATTTAGTTTGCCTTTCTTGCCTGATACTGTGTTTTAATTTTGACTACTTCTACCTTTTAAATTCTTCTCTCTTCCTTTTTTCGCACTATATGCCACAATCTTTCTGCTGTACTTAGTGTATCTCATCCCACTGATCTTTCCTGTCCCTCCTCATTTGTTGGCATTTACAGTGCAAGCTTCGTCACAGTACTAGCAATGCACCCAGTGTGAAACCTAAGGAACAATAGTGGAAATGGTGAGATGTAGGAATGTAGCATAGGAATGGGGGTTCTAATAGAGCCTGAATATCTCCAGCTCCTGGAGGATGCACAGGAAAGTGCAGTATTTTTAAAGAATGCAGATGCAAAAATAAAGAATTGCATAGTTTTTATGACTTTTGAAACACTTGAGCTGAGAAGAATAACACCTGCCATACTGGCAGAATTTGAACACTGGCTGTACTGTTGAGTTGTGTGGATTTTGTTGCATGTAGCTAAGCTGTCTAATGCATAATTGAGCATTTGAAAAAAATAAGGTTGAAAGAAGATGACTATATATCCTAGCATGATTATACAAAAAATTTCTGAGGTTTAAAATGTGTCAGGCAGGTAAGGTATTTCACTTGTGGTAAAACCCTAATACCGTACCAACTTTATTGTCTAATAGATGAGATTTTGTGTTTAAAAGAAGTTCAAGGATCCAGATTGCTATCATGCTCCTTTTAGTTAAGAAATAGGGTATACTTATTTTTACATTTACTCTTTCCACAGAGTAGAACAACAGCCTGTTTGCTCGTATTTGGAAAAGATCATCTCAAAAAATATGGATCTGATGGAGAAAAAACTAATGGACTATATTGATCACCAAATCCGTGCTCTTCAGACACATATAGATGATAAAATGGTTCTCTTAATGGACTTGGTTCAGAACTCAAAGCCACACACAATGTCACAAATGCGCTGTGATTCTAACGAGGGGTTTTCTAATGGAGAGAGATAGATGTATATAGTTATAGGACTTCAGTGTAAGTACTTTAAGGGCAATTATACTTTATAAAGCTTAGTATTTATGGAGTTATAACTGTAAGGAACTTCAGTGTTATTGACTTGCATTTTGTTACTGTAATTCTATCCGTTATTGTACACAGTTTTATGAAAGATCTCAAGGGTGTGTGTGTTTTGCTAAATATAACAATTTTATATGCCTTTTGTGGCTTATTTATTTAAAGAGCATTGGTAGAAGCCATATGAAACGCAGTTTCCCAGTTTCAGTTTGAACAATGGAGAAACACTGTAAATAAACTGAGTTACAGCTTTTTACCTACATGTAATCAGTTTGCTTTTTTGTTGTCTTGATTTTTGCTGTGTAACGTGTTACCAGTGGAACTGAACGTAGTTTCTTTGTGCTTTTGGTTTATTTTAGCGGTGCTCCTGTTTACGATGTTTATTACTCTCTCTGTAAGAGGAAGGGTAGTACTGGCATTGCCTAACTTAGGCTGTTTAAGGAGTCAGGTTTAGAGAGACAGGCCAACTTGAATCTCACCCTGGTTCTTGGAAAGCCTTGCTGGCTGTTCAGGCACCTAAGTTAGGACTCTAGGCTCCTTAAGTGATACTTAAGACTCTTATTGTACTTTTTCCCTCCTAATTTAATTGAGCCATGCAAGAACAACTGAAGTGAATGTACGCCTAGCAGACTTGTATTTGTCCATGTTCTGTTATCCTAAGAAATGTAAGTATCGTCATTTGCGGTTCCTTTCAAGCGGACCTTGTTGCCAGATAGAAGATGCTGGGGTAGGATCTGCTGCATTTCACCAACCTTCAGCCACAGAAGTAGCCTTATTGCATCGTATTTACTTTAGTCTGCTGGGATTAGTTCTACTGTCGTTTGAGTCACATTTCTACCTCCCCAAAAGTTCCTCTTTTATGGAAGGTCATGCTTCATTCTGTTTATTGCTCTTTGAATTCTGGGGTGCACTATCTAATTTGAACTCTATAGGGACTTCATGGTGAACTCCCAAGTTGGGTTCACAGATGTTGGATGTACTCAGTGTCTTAAAACACATTGAGCAGAAGCTATTTATGGGGAAACAAGCGGTGACTTAACAAGCATAGTAGGCACGTACAATCCAGTGTCTTTATCTAGTCTACCTAATATTTTCTTCTCCAGGAAAACTGATGTCTTTTGAAGACTGTCAGATCTTGATGGTAGCAACCCACCGGAGCAGATTTTGAAGACAATAATTTGCTTTGAACAGACATCTTGTAGTTGTCCCTCAATTTAACTCATGACAGGTGCATTTTCAAAGTGATTTGAAAAGATAAAAAGAGAAATTTTGTTTTGAAGAAAAAAGGCTTAAATTATCTTGTACTTTACAAGTCATTCTACACCCGTAAAGTTAATTTTAGATGCTTTCTAAAAAACACCATGGGGGGGGGCTTATGTTCTTTTTCAACTCAATAATTTAAGACAGTACTAGGTAGAGAGGTTTTTTTTCCATTACAAAAAAAGTTGAAATGTGTTTCCAATCATTGCTGTATTCCAAGGCTGTTAGTTTATTGATTTGTGGTTGGTTTGGGTTTTTTTTCCTTCCCCTCTTTGGGTGACAAATCTGAAAAGAAGTTGACACAAATTCAAAATACCTTTAAGTAGTTAGTATGAGCTCTGGATTTTTTGGTAGCCATACCCTTGTGGGCGTTTGTGATATTTCAGTATCACAGCTACCACAATGATAATATTTGAAATTAAAACCACAAATGAAAGAGTATAGAAGTTGTATTGTTGCAGGTTCGGGGTTTCTTCAGCAGCTGCTTTAGTGAGGGATTCTGTGTAGAAAAAAAATAAAGTGGGATGTTTAAAGTTCTGAATGCCATGTTAATTCATTGAAAATTAAATAAGCATTTTTTCAGATATTTTGTTTCTGAGGATTGACCCGCACCAATTGCCAATTATGAATCTGTAGTACTGAATAGTTGTAGAAATTTGTAGTAAAACAATTGTGCAGAAGAGCATCACAATGTTAACAAATCCTTTGGTATTGCTGCAGCTGTCATCTTTAGAACTGGATAGATGGGAGGCATATTGCTGAAGCAAAGCTGGGCTGAAAGGAAACTCATGGTTCTAACCCTGTGCCTTCTAATGGTTTACTAGCTGGTCCTTGGTAAAACTCATTTTTCTGTAAATCATGAAAAACACTATGAGAATTAATCTATACTTTATAATACGTTGAGTGTGATCTATTTGCACTTGTATTTTTCACATTATGGATGTCTCCAGTTTCTAGCATATGAATGCAAAATCTTTCGCTATTGAAATTAATGGGAACATGTTTAAAATACTGCTAGAGTTCAGAGAGGTTACTAAGTTTTTTTTAAAAAAGAAGAAAATATGCTTGTTAGTATTAAGATAATGATTAATACTAAATATTTCTTAGATCTGACACCTGAAAACATGTGGCACAATGTGCTTTTCTCAGGTGAAGCTTTGGGCTCAATAAAAGTACAATGAGCATAGTGGAAGTAAAAATACAAGTTTTTTAAAATAGCTTTTCCATATTTTGTAGTCTGTGTTAGTTCTCAGTACTCATCTAGACCAGCGTAGAACAGACTGCAGATTGTGCTAAAGAGTATGTCAGATCAGGGCACTGAAGCTTAGTTATAAACAGCTTTGCAGCTCTTAATTTAAAAGTGTGGTGCTCTTGATTTCTGCTCCAGTGGTTGTCCTCTTCATGTTTTTGTTCTAATAGGCAATGCACATACAGAGTGAGGACTTAACCTAGCCTGGAATGAGTCATCTGTGTTTGTCAGGTGGCATAGCTTTTCTGTAGTACCAACAAATAAAACTGAGTGAAATTGAATGGGCTATGGGGAAATTCACAGGTTATAACAAAGCTTGACTGTGCTTTGGAATGTGCTTTTGAAGTAGTCTGTGGCTTGAGAAATGAGCCCTGGTCCCTATGTATGCCTCATCGCAAGATGTCACGTTGGAAAATCTGAAACCTCTTGCCATTCATCACGCTTTCTGAATACAGTCAGATCCTGCATGCTCTACTGTTGTAACTAGGAGCGAGTGCTGCTTTTCTGCTTCAAAGAGTGCACTTTAATCCAAAAGGCCATCAGTATGTTAGTTTGAATGGTACTTCTGTGATCTCACAAAACACAAACTGTTGAATTCATTGCTCTGATGTGACATGAGTTTTGAACTAGTGTAATTCACTTATTTCATTAGTGGATCAAAGGTAGCGGATTTACACGAAGGAAGAGCTTAATCAGGTTCTTAATTTATGTATTGTTCTTACCTGAATGACCATCAGCCCTGAGACCTCTCTTCAGGCGGATAGGACCTATTACGGTATTAGTTTTCCACAGGTATGAAGAAATATCTCTTCTTTGTCTGGAGATACAGCCTTTGGTACAGCGAGAGTTTGTGTTGTTGCTGTCACAAATTAAAATATCACACCGGAGATACACTGATGGAAAGTGCCGCAGGAACCTGAAGGCATTAAATTTGAATCTTCCATAGTGTTCAACTGGTGGGTAGGTTACGAGAGTGTCGTCTTTATTGCAGCTGCAACAGAATTTACAGATCTGTTACAGTAGTCCACACAGGATAATCATTCTTGCTACTTACTGTTAACTAACCATTAACTGGGCCATTGTTTTTATGTCTGGGTGTACAATGATGTGCCTTTTTTTTTTTTTTCCTCTCTCTAGTGCAATGTAGTGCTTGTTTTTCCTCGCCCTGTTCATGTAGTTGTTGCAGATCACCCAGCTACTTGCTCACCCTCCCCCCTCCTGGGGAATGGGGGAGAGAGTTAAAGGGGTATGGGAAAAAGAGACTTGGGGTTGAGATAAGAACAATTTAATAACTAAACTACGGTAAAATTGAAAATAATAATAATAATAATAGCAATATATAAAAATTTACAACTAGTTGGTGTATTTGATACAAACAAGGCTCAGCACCTTCCTGGCTAAAGAGCCTAGAGCAGAAAACATCCCCAAACTGCAATTCCAGAAAATATACAAGAGCCTGAGTATCCGAGAGAGTGAGAGATGATTTTTTTTGGGGGGGGGGCAGAAATTTTGAACAGATCCTCGTGATATACTGGTCATGACGTGCATGATATGGAATAGACCGTTGGCCAGTTTGGGTCTCAATCCTAAACCTAAGATCAAATCCTGTGCTGGTCACTGGGGCTGTGCTCCCTCCCAGCTTCTTCCTGCCCCTGCAGACACGGGCACAGCAGAGAAGCTGGAAAGTCTTTGGCTGTCCTGGCAGCAGCTCTGCCCATCAGTGTGTGATCAGCTTCTCCTCAGCACAAACCCAAACAGCCTCTCACCAGCTGCTGGGAAGAAAGTTAACTGTCCCAGCCAAAACCAAGACAGTAATGCCTTTAAATAGCTGTGAAAGTTGGCATCCAGCCACAGTCTACTAAACAGGATGTGGGAGACAAAAATAAAAACTACGGTTGACACTTAGATTAGATTTCCTTACATGAGACAGTCATGAAATAATTTAGGGTCTTACCCGCTTCTGATCAAGTCGTATGTTGGTGATCCAAAATCAGCTCGTGGAGATGCTACACAGGTATCAACAAACACCAAAAGATTTGGGTCGGTGGAATGAAGACTGACTTGAACAAAAAGAGTTTCGTTCAAGTCTACGTAATATGGGGACTCAAGCACAGGGTTGGAGAATGAATCTGAGTCATAGAACGACATGCTAACGTTGTATCTTCCCACAGCGGTGGTGTTTCGGATTATATTATTTTTCGTTATGTAAATGAGTTCTAAGGTTGAATTGTTTTCCATTATGCATTTTGCAACAATGTGTAAGCTCTTCTGGCGGGTGATAATGTTACCAGTTGCAAAGAGAGAGATGATGTTGGTGTAAGTGATGCTGTGACCGTCATCCTGCAAAAGGAATCACAAGAAGCGCTCGGTTGTGATTCTGTGAGTGGTGCAGTTGAAAGCAGTTGTACGAAATTACAAAGCCGCCCAGGTACTCTTCTCAGAGGCTCAAGATACCTTTGAAATGTGAAACAGCTTGCAACCAAAAAAACCATTATCAACTTCTCTGTTTCTTCCAAACACTGAACCAACCCATGCAGCAGAAAGGTTAAGGAATACTGAAACATTGAGGTTGATTTGTGTAGATTCTCCTGGACTTCCTTTGAAAAGCTCATTGATCACCAGGTTCTTAAAGAGGAAAAATGTTCTTTCTGTTTCAAGACTGGAAACATGCAATGGGATGAGCTAAGTGAAAGTACGTCTGCTGTTAGTTTATTCACATGCTGCTCACAAACTGCTTCTACAAGCCCTTATTCATAAGCTGTTGTTAACTTCACGTGGCTTTTTTCCCCCTTTACCTTTTTAATTGTTCCACAGCTGGTTAACGGGAAGGAAAAGATCACAGAGTCCGTTATCACTGGTCTGCAGGATGGATCAATTGGCCGTAGCTGCGTTTCGTTATAACCAAGGGAGGCCAGGTAAGACCTGCTCAGAGTAATGTTCATTGTATCCGAAGAACATGTAAGGTGTGCTGCCATTGAAAGAGAAATTAAAAAAAAAAACACAGAACAATGTCATCATAAATTATGCTGCGGTCATTTCTCAGTTGGTCTAGATCCTTGAACCTGTTGCATGGTTCTTGATTTGTCAGTCTGAAATGGCTCATGCGGATTTGAGGGCGTGCAGAAGTCAGAATAAAGTTTCATGCTCGACTTCAGAAGTGTTAGACGAGCAAAACCGTATAAAGCTTATGCCGAAAGTTTAGTTTTAAACCTGGTAACACAGGATGAATTGCAGGCTTGACAAAAGGGAAAAGGAATCAAAGTGCTAGTGCAGAATGGTGAGTGAGGAAATTGATTTGTAGCAGATATTGAAGTTTTAGGGGCTCCTTTTCCACCTCAGTTAATGGGAAGATGGGTGTGCAAACATATGGAACCATTAAAGAAAATGGTCCAGCTCTGTGTGTAAGGAAATTACAGCACACCTAAAACGCATTTGACCGAGCAGTGCAAGCCATTTTCCTGAGCGTCACAGGGAACAAAAACATTCAAACTAACCAGTCAAAAAAAGTTTTATCTTTACATCTCTGGGATGGTAACAGTGCCTGCTTTGTCCAAAAGAAGGATAAGCTCAAATTTTCAGTGGTGCTGGCCCGAAAAAGGACCAAAAAGTGAAAGAACTGACTTTCTTTTGAATATGTGTCAGGTAATAACTTAATGCTTTATAGGCGAGGCTAATATGGAATTTTTGTGTGTCAAGAGGGTTAATGGCCACCAATGAAAAGCCTTAAATCCTCAATATCAACTGTCAGCTCTTTTCAAATATTTATAAGGGAAGGATCACATGTGAGAATAAGAAACAGCATCCTGTTGTAGTAAGTGTACTTACTGTTGGGCGGCTCAGGACCTGGCAGCGGAACGCTGGTGTACTGCGCAGAAAATCCTCTGTAGGAGTTAGCATAGTCTGTCGACAACACAACTGTCAAAGTGTTTGAAGAAGATTCAAATGCGGGTTGCCCAAGACCACATACTTTTCCTATTAAGCTAGTGTTAGTGGTGAGGCCGTCGTAGACTGCTGTGAAGTCAAATTGGCAGTTTTTGTCTAGCTCCAGGCTGTCAACAGAGAAAAAAGTAATTACAGGGAAATCTGAGTATAGAGAACATTGCTCGTACTGGATAGAGGATCCAGTGTGGATAGAGCATCTTGATGAATTCCAGTCAACTGATATAAAAGAATGGAGAATAAAAGAACTCATAAATAGACATTATTAAAACCAAATAAAGCATGGAAAACACCATGGTTTTAAACATGTAACTTATGTAGAAAAAAAATCTTTATTTATACTGATGGATTTAAATTCAGATATTTCAGGCTAACTTAAAATATCTCATAGCTAGTCACCTGAAATGCTTTCTGCATTTCCCTGCCTGGCACAGCGGTAGCTATAGGGTAATGTATAGTACAGTAATGTAGAACACATTTCAATTACTTTATCATAAGAGTCAGCAGAGCGTGTTTAACAGCATGTAGGTATTCTAAAAGTTTGAAAGCACTTCTGCTTCCTGTGTTTAAAGTAATGCCTTTAAACAGAATGAAAAAAGAGTAATAGAGCATTAGGGCATTTACTCACAAAAAATCCGTGAACTGTAAGTTGATCTTGGAGTTTTTTGGTGCTTGTATTTGCCAGATGCAGTATGCAAATTCAGGGTAAGGTGCTGGATAGTTGGGGCTGGTAAATGTCCCATTGGGGCCACTTAGTTGTCCCCCACAATTATCAATATCTGAAGAGAAGAATAGATATATTGGTAACATCATAGTATATATAACGAGCCATAAAAACCAAAGATTAAAAAACCGTAAAAACCCAATAACATCTGTGATGGCTGTAGACGAGTTCGCTTTGATACCATGAGCGATTTAGTTGTATCTACATTTTGGGTAGATTAGGTCATGTCTTGAAAAAACTGGTAATGAAGATGCTACACCAACCAAAAGAAACGCTGAGGGACCTTATATTAGAGAAATCTGTGAGGCCTTGGGCATGATCTATGTGGAAGGGCAAAATCTTCAAGCTGGAGAGAGATTTTACTTGATAGATAAAGGCAAAATAAAATGAAGTCAGTGGAAATCTCAGAAAGACAAGGGTAGACTAGGAATAGGGCACAGTTTTCCAGCAGCAAAGTTAAACGCTGGAGCAGCATAAACTAGGTGGTGTTAACTACTCTGTAAAATTGAAGCTTTTAAGAGCTTAATATCATGCCACTCAGACCTACAATATTTGCAAACTGAGTAAATTTAGTAGAAGCCTGTAAGTAAAAGTAGAGTCCCATAATGCCTTCTTTGCAATCATTTTTTCTGAGTAAAATTAACTTTTTAGGCTCTCTGCAAGCACACTGTTGTTTTGCTGCCTCTTTCCTTTCACTGGCTTTCCCCCACACTATGAAAAGCTGGGTGAGACTAGTTAAAGATTCTGTTAATAGTCTCTAATTGCAGTCCTAAACCTTCCCTTCATGGGAAAGTTTCTTTTAATGGCACAGTTCAAATGGTATTTAGTGACTTACTTGTTCCTGGTGAAAAGTAGTAATAGAAGACAAAGAAGCTTCTGGCGAAAGCCTCGGAGTTTGTCGTTATGACGAAAGTTAAACTGTCTGAAGATGATTCAAGTACGGGGACGGCATCGGTGTTGTTACATACTTGTCCAAGAAGAGATGAGTTAGTTGAGGGACCATCATATACTCGGATACTTTCTGTGTCACAGCTTGAAGAAGGAGCAAATCTGTCGAAAAAACACAGCGACAACTACCTGAGCTCACTGATAAATAGATATACAGGCTCGCTGGAATCCACAACACAGGCTCTATAGAGAAATACTTGGTGGCAATATTCTTCCGTGCTGTATTCTAATGGAATGAAACATTTAAAAAGTATTTGGAGGCAATACGTACTTGAAATAGGAGAAAATGAGCCTAATTGTTTGGTTTGAATCCCTCTGGATTTGCCAGACGCAGCTCGCATTTGCATTTAGTTCGATCTTTAATGCTTTGTAGGACTCATGAAGCAAAGCACCGCAGCGAGGTACACCTGTTAAGGAACAGCAACAACAAAAACCAGCTTGTAAGGCTATCTCTCAGGTTTTATTTTGCAATAATATTTCATCTTCTACTCTGCAAAGGCACTGGGACTGTCTGTCATGGAACAGACAAGCAAAATATTGTGCTATTTTTTTTTTTTTTAATTTATATTACTGCAGTTTATGAAAGGATCAAATAGTAAAAGAATATTGGAAAATAATTTTTATCCTAATTTTCCTAGTAGCAGAGGAAAAGGGAGTTAGGGCAACACGTCTCACAGATGAAGCCGATGGCAAAGCTGGAAATGCCAAGTGATAGGGGACACCTCAGCCTCCTGTCTTCCCCCTACACTGAGATCCTAAAGATCATTGAATCCAGTTCTGAGGTTCAGCCCTTAAAAGCACTCTGGAACCACGCTTGGGAAATCAAAAAGGCTTTTCAGATCTGACCTTCTGAAGGGCTATGTGTGGGATTACTGCATATTTACTGCTGCATGCAATTCTGATCCCCTGTCTCCAAAAGGGCACTGCTGGACGGGAAAATCTTCAGGGAATGGCAATGAAGATGATTAAAAGTTTAGAATAGCTTCCAGACAAAGAATTAGTAGATAGACTGAAGCACTTCAGGTCAGAAAAGAGATAACCAGGGGAGAAAGGAGGTGCTAGAGCTCTGTAAATCCATGAAGAAATTTGGTATGAGATATTCTCTTCCAGTACAGTAATGTAGTGTCCTGAAATGAAACCAGTAAGTTGTGGTTTGGAAACAAACGAAAGGAACTGGTTCTTTGCATGTAGGTCTTTGCTGCAGGGTGATGTGGTTGGTAAAACACAAAACGGGTCAAATCCATGAAAGAAAAAGCCTTTGGTAACCGTTAAACACAAAGGTCGCACTCCTCTCTGTTTCAGGAGTCCTGACTCATGTTTGTGGGTGACTGGGAGAGTATTCTGGGGAAGCGTTATGCAGCCTTGTGTTTGTGTTCTTGCCTGAGCATCCTCTCTGGACTTACTGGGTTCAGGATGTGGGGCTAGCAGGACTTTGACCCAGTTCTTTTATGAAAAGAACCCAAACCAACCATGGTTGACATCACTAACACAACTTAATGTTAGTGAGTCATAAAGTAGTTGCAGAAATAGCTGTCGTATAGGAAATTTTGGAAAAAGTTTATAATCCTGTTTGAGCATAAGATCTGCTTTAATCTAAAACTAATGGTCTAAAACAGCAGGGAGAATTTCCTATACAGCGTACGCAGTCCCAGATAAAAAGATCAGGCTTTCTGATGAGCTCCAGAGGGAAGAGGAAGGTTTGGGAGAGACCTTTCTTGTCACTTATGAATCCTCCCAGTTGTAAGAGCATTACAAGGGCAGCTTTGCCCTACCCTCCCTCGGCATCCCTCCGGACCGTTCTGTATCCAGGCATCACTAGAGCAGACCTGCAGCAATCCTTCGTTATCCTGCAGTAGCTACCCACCATGAATCAGGTAAATTGCAGATTTGAGCACAGAACAGTGATCCCAAATTGAGCACCAAATGACTAGCTATTGCTTCGGATTGAACAAAGGAAAAATGAGTAAAAAAAGCATCTGTTTCCCAATTAAATCAGTTCATTCCTGTTACTCCAATATGGTATTAAATTATGAATGCAAATTTCAATTCCAGAGTGAAATCTTTCAAAATCAATTTCTTAAGTTAAAAAATTGCCATACATCACAGGTTGTTTTTTTTGTTATTTAACAGTTTTAGCAGTTGTTGGCACATTGGGCTGTTACCGTTGTCAGCAGCACATTAAAATAAGATGCACATTTAGAGCTAAGTTTAACATTTTTCCCTTCAGTTGCCTATGAAATACCTACTGTGCCAAAATAATAAAATTTCACAGGTGAAAAAAAATACTAGATTTCCATACCCCTGGGTTCTATTGACTTCTCTTCAGCGTCAGCTAAAGCAGCGCAGAGAGGCAGGAGGAGGAACAGTCCAAGCGCCAGCATTTTGACGGCAGCTGGGGAGGTTAGGATTTTCCAACTTTTATACCCCCTGCTATTTCATAATCATCTTCTAGTCCATGGTATCACAGTGGGAGGGCTTTTATCTCTGTTATGTTCCTTTTTAACAGATATAAATGGGAAAGTAACAGGTGTGCCCATTTTTTTTTTTAATATGTACTGTGTAGAGTAAGTTTTAATTGTGTTTTGTCAGCTCTCATGGGTTCAAAGCAGATTTTTCAGCTGATTTCGTTGAGCGTCTGTTTGGGTGTGTTTTTTTGAATGTTCTGGAAGGGATTGCCAGACTCCCTTGGGAGACACAATCAACAGTTTGTTCTTGGCTCTGGGCAGCAGGAGGTTGGTTTTTTTCCCACCTTCATTTTGACACCCATCCCTTCAGGTTGCACTGGGCGAATCATTCCTTGTCCTTGCTGGGGATTCCTCAGGTGTAAAGTGGGACTACCATAATAGGGTTGTCAGGAGTAATAATTTCTTATTGCTGAAGTATTTGTGGATGAACAAGGCCAGATTCATCTTAGCCACAGATGTAAAAGAAGATTGCACTACACCCACTTTGCAGTAAAACTTCCTTAGTCCCACAACAGCAGCTACAAAAAAAAAAAACAAAACCAAAACAATTATCCTTTCCTTCCCCAGGTACGGGGACAAGCACAGTCCCAAGAGCCTCAATTCCTTCTAGCACAAATCTGTTGAGCATCTGTTCCAATATATTTACACTATTTTGGATGCCCAAGCTTCAAAGCTTCTAGAGGTTGTGATAAGACTCGTGCCGCAGATGTGCTGTTCCCCTGGCCTTGGTTCGGTGCAGTGCTTTCATGGTGTGCAAACAGTCCAGGTTCACGCAGGAGCCTGGCTGTGCAATTCTTCCCGGTACAGAGAGCGGGATCCCACAGCTGCGCAAACAGGCGTTCTTTCGTGTTCACTAGAAGAGTCAAATTGCAGCGCAGACCTTCTTGAAACACATCCAGGTAGGTGACTTTCATAAACCCAATTTTTTTTTGTACGAAACCTTTGCCTTCTTTAATACAATTCTCTCCAATTTTTAACTCACTTTAAAGGTTTTTGAATGCAACTTTCTTCATCGTGACAATATACTTATATTGCTTTTAAACACGGAGGCATTGAATACATGTATAAAGAAATCTGAAATTTGAAAATCCCTTTAGCTTCTGGAAATGCTAAATTTGCATTTTCTCTGTTTAGCCTTTCATTTCTTAAACCCACACACATACTTGCAAAGATTTTTCAAATGCTAACATCCATTTTACATGCATTTAGTGTCTGAACTGGTGCGTGGAGCCCTGCCAATCAATGCTGTATCCATCACAACCAAGCAAATGCCTATGGCTATGATACCCTGTAATTTACTCTGCTAGTTACAGGTTGGTAGTCAAAACTGTTTGGAATGACTTGTGCATGAATGATTAGGAAATTTTCTTGCGCTGGAGTTGAAATCAAGGGGCTGGACCCCCTAAAGAGTGGCCCAGTGTTTCCAAAGGGTTGAGCCCATGCTCACATGTGGGGCTGGCTGGCAGCTCCGTCGGCACAGACAAGTCTAAGAACTGAGCTGCTGCTGTGCTACGTACTTGTGCTACAAAGCTGAGCGTCCAGACTGTTTTCAGATCTTGTGCCCTAAGATAGCGTGACGTGTTCAGATAGCAGGTGATGCTGAAAAATTCATGGCTCGCTTTGAATTTCCTCTCCCATCTCAAAAGAAATGGATAGCAAGTCTTAATGAAAATCCTTTAGGATGAGAAGAGTACAGAAGATGTTTTGCAATAGCAGATCCTCAGAACAAATTAATGTGCATTTTAGTACGAAGGAACAAGGACTCAGCTGTTGGGACACTTATTTACAGGCACATTCTCTCCCTGCCTGCAGCTGAGAGTACAGTAGAAGAGAAAATGTGATTTCAAGCACTTTAAATTGTTACCTGTGAGAAGCAGAGCAGCAGGGTTACGAGTACGTTGAAGTTTTGTATGAACTAAGTACGATTAGGAAATACTTGGGCTCAGGATGGGCATTATATTCCTGCAGGATGGGGACTTTGGCCATGAGCCTGCTCAGCCAGCGCCAAAGCTTAGCCACCAGATAAGAGATTCAATTGGGAGCCTTCATGGGAGATCTGTGGGATTTTGGCATTTGGAAGCTGGCTAAGCTATTCACGGAGAAGCTGAGTTTCAGAATGACTCTGATGCCTTTTTTGAAGGGACGAAGCATAAAAGGAAAAGTTGCTGAAAAAGGAGGATTTTTTGGTCTTGTGTGGCACAGCCTCTAGGCGCTAGGCATCCTTATTCAGAACAGAGCATCTCTTGAGTTTACGTTATCTGCACATACTTCCCATATGGAAGCTGAGTATTGGCCTTAAAGATGCTTTTCACACTCAGGCCAAGTTCACCAGATTATCGAAATTTAATACATCTATTTCCCTGAGATGACCACTGTACTACTGTGTGATTCTGCAATCGACTGCCAAGATATTTTTCTCTATTATGAACTGAAAAGAATAATTTCCGTTTTTTTTTTTTTTCACCAAGTCATTCCAGGTAGGACAATTTAACATTAAGATGCAGAAACTCCAGGCTCAAAGTGATACCATCTGAACACATATTGAAAGCAAAAGGATGAAGGAAATGCTTATAACAAAGTAAATTTAGATGTAGTTTTTTTATAGTTTTAATCTCCAGTAATAAAAACTGACATATGTCAAGATTATGATAGTTTATAGGTATTGCAGAGATTGTATCTCAGTGCATGTTTATAGGTATTGCAGAGATTATATCTCAGTGCATGTATTTTTTTCCAATTATTTTTGAGTTCTTATTTAAGATAATTGCTCAGACATTATTGTTTACAAGGGATGCTAATCCTTTGATATACGTCTCTTGGTGAGCTCAGAAAGCAGCACTGTGACATGTGCATCTGCAGGGCGGGTTACTCTTCCTTAAACGCTCAGTATTTGAGCTACTTGGTACAATGGGGAGAACTGGAAGAACTATGAGAGGGAAACAAAGTCTTGATGAAAAAAATCAGCCAGCTGATCCAATTACTCTTTGTCACTGAGAGTATTTACTGAAGTTTAGGCTTTTACAAATCTGGAATACAGATCCGAATGATCTAAAATTAAGGAACATAAGTACAATTAAGATTAAAATACCTTTAGATTTACACCCCCTAGTATAATGTGTTTTCAGAAATTAGTAGCAGATGTGCAACACACTGATCACATGTATAAGTGATCAACATAATGCTATGGCTGGAAAAAGCATTGTTGGAGCTGTTATTATCTGGGGCCGATAACAACAATGATGCCGCCACGTGTTCTTTGGCCTCTTGTCAGATAGCCGTGGTAGTGTTGGGAAGAATAACTGTATCTGTTGCATGATGGTATTGTGCACCGTAGGCAAGCTCTTGGGTATATGGGACCTCTGAACCTGAAGTGAACGATCCTCCTGCCTGGTGAGTAGTAGTTTCTACAGATTGGGTCTCTGACACACCTGGGAAAAGAGAAAGGAAAAAAACCCACAACAGTCACACAAAAATTGTGACATGGTTACTAAGGCCATTTATTTCATTAGTTACAGTAAACTTTCCTCCAGAAATTTTTAACTATGAAGTTAGTCACAATTCACAGCACAGAACTCCTGAACACAGGTGCAACTATATGGAATTTAAATGTATATGTTGGTATAAAATGTAACACAAGAGATAACAAATATCACACACGTATGTAAATGTATACATGTAAAGCACCTGATGGAATTTTAAATATGTGAGAAAGAGTTACTGCGTAGGCCTGTTATCTCCCTGAAGTTGTTTTTTATTTCAACCTTAGACTTTCTGAAGAGCCATGAAGGAACTATTGCATATCCCAAATCAACCAAACCCTCTTTCATTGGGTGCTTCATCCTTCTCTAAATTTTTTATAATTTTTTTGCGATACTTTCTGAGAATTTATACCAATTCTTCTTCTCTAGCAGAATATTATGGTAAATGAAATATAAAACCCCAACTAACACAACTGTGTGGCTTTGCCTTAATAGTTAGTTCGTTTACAATCCTGCTGCTTCCTGCAAGCAGGTGACTCAAATGTGTTCCAGCTCTGTGTATCTTTGGTGTATGTATTTGTTGGTGTCCATATGAAGTCAATCACATGTGAGGAATTATTTTGAAGTGGTTGTTGAGATATTTTCCTTAATTGCTTCTAACTAAATCAGATGCCACAGTCTAAAGTCATGAGGATTTGGAGAGACCACACACATCTCTGTAAACAGCTTCACATTTGGCTCAGTGCTGTGCAGGGTAGCACAAACAAACAAATCCTGGTTGGGCTGAACGTAGTATGGTGCAGCCCTCACCAACTTTGAAAAAGGTGATGAATCGTAAAAGGCAAACTTGACAATAAATGATCTAGATGGAGTTTCCTGGTCTGGAGACCCAGTAACACTGGGTATCGATTGGGCACCGGCGTTCCTGTGTGTTTTGCAGTCAAGGTCTGGCAAGGGAATTTGTACTCTTGCTGTAGAAGTTGCCAGAAATGGATCCTTCCACTGCTTTGGAATAGGTCATGGCTTGCCGGGCTGTGAGTTTAGAGCTGCAAAGGATGGCTATTCCTGAACATCTCTAGAAAGTCAGGCAAGGTAAGGGCTAGCTGGGCTCAGCTGTCATTGCTGGGAAGATCCTGAGGTGACCCAACCACAGGTCCAGCTGAGGATATTGGTGAATTGTGAGAAAGTCTGCAGAGCCATGCGAGATAAGGGAGGTGAAATTACTGAGGAATCAGTTCCTGTTGGTTGGGGTTCAGTTAGTAGCTCAAGGACTCAAGAGGGAAAACACCAACATGGACAGGTAGAAAGATTTAAAGGGAAGAAACCCCTGGAGAATGGCAGCTGAGCATGGTGGAGGGGCTGTTTGAAGGAGACATGGAGGAAGACCAACCCTCCCCTGCCTGAAGGGTCACCTGGCCAGCAAAGCCTCACTGGGAGTCTCGTCGGTGTGGTGGGTGTGATGATGCCCAGCTCATTAAATCCTGCTCTGTTGTGTGTTGGAGTGAGTATGCCATCACTTTATACATCAAAGATTTGCATAACCACTGTCAGAGTCTCTTTGGTTTGGGCACATTTAGCCGTGCACAGACTGACCTGATGAGGGAGGGTTACGAAAGGGAAGCAGAGTCGAGAAGTGTGTGAAGTGGGGAAGGTTGGTAATATTGTATAATTTAGAATAATGAACTTTTAGAAACATAATTTTGTTGTGGTGTTAGTATAATGTTTGTCTATGTTCCATGCCAACCTCCTGAGTCTTAGTGTTCACAAAGCCATGGGGTGGCATCATCCGGTAACAATCTTTAAAAATATTTAAATTTCTTTTTTCATGAATTATTTTGACAACATCTTGGCATGCAACAATTTCAAACCTATATATTCCTGCCCGCCTTCTTGTGCCACAGCCTTTGTATGGCATATGAAACATGGCATAAGAGTCAATCCCAGGCATCTGTTCCCTGCATGGTAGCCTCTGGCATTGCTATAGGGTCTTCTGGTGGTCAGTGCTGTGAAAATCAGTCTTTAAGAGGATGAAAGTATATTAACTTTGTTAATATATATCAGTGGAATTTTACTGGAGACTCTGGTATTATTTATGCTTAAGTAAAACAAACTAGAAGATGTCCTGGCCCTGGAAAGCAGGACTTTGTGGAAGGTTAGAGCTGGCCATGAAGGATTCCCTTGCACAGCCAAGATCACATCAGCATCCCAGCTCCTCTGACACGTCTTTGAAACCCTCCTAGTATTGTCTGGTGTCGTAGATCAGTAACTCAAGGGGTGTCTGGATCAACAGACAAGCAGCAAGAACGCTGCAGAAATTGACTTGTTCTGTGCAGTTTTACTATCATTAATAATCAGTAGCATGGGTGTGAGTGATTAGTCAAATCATATTGTACCTGGACCTTTGAAGGGTGTAAGGACCCAGTGTCAAACCATGTTCGGGGTACCCCAGTTTGTCTGGGACACGTCATGCACATGGATAAATATTTACCCTTGTAATTTTATACTTTGCATCCCGGGTCGACTCGGTCGGCACAGGCCAGTTAACTCTCTCAGAATCACCACCCGCATGTATTTAGGCAGATAAGTCAGGTTTGCTGGAGAAGAAGAAGTTCAATGTTAGTAAACCATGTGTAAGTGTAGAGTAAAATGCAGCATGTATTAAATACTAGTATGCTCTGCAAATGCAAAGAAACACACTGAGGATGTATTGGCTGCCAGCTCCTGTATCGGCGGTGCGTGGTCCCTGGGCAAGCTGCAGCATCCTGAAACTCTCCGCCTGCTCCCGGCCTCTCCCACTTCCCCCTTTCTTCTGCTCCCAGGTACCCTCTGCCGTTAAACTACCAGGCTTTCCCGGCCCACATCTCTTACCCAGCGTATACTGCACTTGGGAAGGGGAGTCACTAAAAAAAAAGAAAGAATGAGAACAACTTACCTAGGCTTAGAGGTGCTGGGGCTGGTCTTGAACGGGCTTTTAATGAGAGAGGAAAAAAAGAGTGAGACTGAATGAGGAAAATGTGTGCTTTTATGTAATCGATTAATATATGTTGTAATTGTCTAAATGCATTAAGACTAGGAAATGTTAGTAGCAACAGTTCTGAGGAATAGAGTTGTCATGGACAAGGGGCTCATATTAAGAAAAGTGTAGAGTCTTGAATACTAAAGATGACACATCACTAACATTAACAGGAACAAGATTTAATTCTGTTTATTCCTTTGTGTAGGCAGATGGTCTCATGCTCAAATACCCGCTTTGCACATGGAGTTCAGTTTCCTGTATGTTATCAAAACATACAACAGTAGATGTTTTTCTGAGGCAGCCAAATGCCTTTACCAGTGTGTAGCTGGTAGGGACAGACTTTAAGAGAAAACCATAGCCTGCTATCTAAGCATCTGAGGCAGAATATTTTCAATTAACGAGCAGAACTGGCAATTCAGATTTTTCAAAAGACAAATCCCATTGTAGAAGACTAAAATTCAAACCAAACACCACTGAATATGTCAGAAGGGTTCCCACTGACTGACTCAACTCCCAGTGGGGATGCAACTTTGAAAGTGCAGGAAGGCTGTCTTCCTTGGAGAGGGATGATCTAGAGCAGATCTGAATTTATACTGGTGTAGTGTGCCTGCCCCAGCAGTTTCCCCTTCCCTAGTTATTTGATCAGTATTTATCAACATTATATAAATATTTATATTAATGCTTATGAATATTTATATTAATCAGTATCATATAAATATCTAATCAATATTTCTCCCATATCAATACCAAGAGCATTTTCCGTCCCTTGATTTGGATGGAAGCCAAAAGAATTATCCCTGCAATGAATTACCAGATCCATGAGATTATGCAGGCAACAGAGGCAGGGAGCCATGCCAGCATGTCACCAGATCACAACTTTGGTGGAGAACTAAGGATACAAACTGGACTAACACTGCGTTACTTACAAGTGGTAACGGCTGCTGCTTCAGGAGTTGGTGAGTCTGATACAGAGGGTGAGTTTGTTACTGTGAGAAGAGAAAATATGAAATTAAACATCCACGTTTTGATGTTTAATCAAACATCAGAATGACTCACATGAAAAGTAGTAGACTGGTCACCACGGTTCAAGAAATAACTGTAGGGACATACCTGGATTTTCAGCTGTTGTGGACTCGGTCAGGACTGTCAAAGAGAAAGCAAAAGCCACACTTCAGTAGGTGTTCCATTACTGAACACCTACGCATCAGTTTCCTCCCAGGATCAAGCATTAGACCCATTCTGCTAAAGCTGAAGCTGTACATACCTGCTGCTTCAGGTGTCGTGTCTTCAGCAGGGGCTGCTCCGAGACAGGAGGGAAAACAAAACTGCAGGTTAGCCATTGTCCCAGCACGGGGTAAGGGCGGGGTACCCGAACCACAGGAGACCTGCAGGTCTCATTGCAGTGGTGACTGGCCACAGCACCGGGAAGATGCTGCCACTGCCTGGGGAAAGTCTGCCTGGAGCGTGAGCAGCCTCGGTGGGAGGAAGACACGTCCCTGTGTAGGCTGCTTCTGCCACAGCCTCTGAGAGATCGAGTGCAAATCTGTATTTTTATTAGTGTCATGTGTTTGCCCCATCGGTTTCCCCTTCCCCACTGCTTTCATCAGTGCAAGTATTTCTCCTGTACCCATCCCAAGCCCCTTTCCCTCCTTTATTGTGTGTGCAAGCCAAGGGAGAGGTGATTGGGATTATCCCTGAAACTAATAGTTAAATCCACGAGATTACACACACACGGTGGAGACAAGGAGACAGTCAGTACGTGATCAGAACTTGGGCAGACAACTAGGCAAGTAAGACAGAGTAATGCTGTGTTACTTACAAGTGGTAAAGTCTGCTGGGTCAGGAGTAGGACGGTCTGTTACTATGAGAAAAAAAAGATGAAATTAAATATTGTCTGCGTTCTAAATGTATATAGTGCCCCAAGACCCATAGTAGCAGCCCCAGCCGCTTGCAATATCACACGAAGCCATGGGAGTAACTGGGAACGTGTGTCTGCGTGGCTGGACATGGCGAGCGTGGCTGTGTTGGGCTGTTGACATACAAGCTGTGGGGACACGGCCAGTGCGATGGCATGCTCGCCTCTGGAAAACCCCACGGCGAGAGCCTGAGCTTGGGCGGGGAAGCAAATAACGCAACAGAACAGGGCACAGCTCTGGGGGCCAGGAAGGCAGGTATCCTGATAAGTCTGGAATTGGGACTGAAATGTGAGTGCATGGCCGTTAATTCCTCGATTTGGTGCGTGAGCCAGGGATCCTGCTGTCCTTTGGGGTTTGACAGCACCTCTGCTCACCATGGCTCAGTAAGAGACCAGAAAGAGGGTAGATTTATATTAGAAATTAGGACAAAGTTTCTTCCTGTGCAGGTGGTGAGGCAGTGGCCCAGGTTGCCCAGAGAAGCTGTGGATGCCCCATCCCTGGAGGGGTTCAAGGCCAGGCTGGATGAGGCTTTGGGCAACCTGGGCTAGTGGGAGGTGTCCCTGCCCATGGCAGGGGGTGGGACTGGATGGGCTTTAAGGTCCCTTCCAACCCAAACCATCCTGTGATTCTACGATTCTATGAAATAAATACCTGATGTTTCATCCGTCGTGGACTCAGTTGGGACTGTCAAAGAGAAAACAAAAAACATGCTTTAGTAATTTTTCCAATACTGGCAAAGCAAAGCAACATTATTGTTTAGGTGTAATTAGGTCTGGTATAATGAGATCCACAATGCAGCAGTTTACCCCATAATTTGGGATTTGTGTGAACCAGCTTGTGGTATTTCCACTGCAGAGGGAAACTGTGGGTATGGTTCTATCTCCACAGAGGCAAAAGAGCTCGGTGACACCTCTGTCCTCAGATCCCCCCAGGAGTTCGTGTTCTGAGCACCTTGAATCCTTTGGGGCTAAGGATGAGGTAAAGGCACTCTCACCTCCCAAAGAGCATGAATTTCTGCTCAGTGCTGCTAAAGTCCAGGGGAATCAGCACTCTGCTGCGGGGTGAGTTGCATTTGACTAAACCTGAGATAAATAAACACTGAAGTCCTCCATACCTGTAGCTTCAGGCGTGGTGAGCTCTGCAGGGACTGTCGGGAGAGAAAATAAAAACCATCAGAAGAAGGAAACCCAGATCAATGCTTTCTGTTACAAGGTGAGACAGCAGCAGCGCGGTCAGGGCTCTCCCCAAAACTGTGACCGAGGTGATGCTTTCTGAAGCCTCAGAGCAGGCTGCGGGTGTTTCTGCTGTGCTGCTGGTGATTCTGCCGTGCCATTTCCACTGCCACCCCGTGCAATGAGTACGTCCGTCGACACTGGGGCAGAGAGGCAAACCCAGTGGGAACAGGTATAATTTCTGCATTTTGTGTAATTACATGCAACTCCGGAAGGTAAGCTGGGAAACATTTTGTTCTGTAAATTACTAAAAAGTTTCAGCAAGTGTGGCTTGTGCTGCTGCACAGCCTCTTGATCCATCGGAGGAGAAATGGTTTGCAGTGTGTAGAGTGTGCTGGATTGAGCAGGAGTGAGTGAATGAGGAATGCAGGCTGATAATCTGACCATGATTGCTTCTTAAATGCTTCTCCTGGGGCTTGGAGCTTATGTACAGCACACCAAAGGTTTGTTGTGATTGTTTCTTAAATACTCATTGTAATTATTTGTCAGTGACCATCAACTAAGAACAAAGCATGGTACCAGAAAAAGGGGAGAGGAGAAGAAAAAACCAAAAATAAAATCACAGTGAAAATACAAGCCTCTTTAGAGGGGTAGTAGAAGCATCGTTCACTTCTTCGGGAATATGTAAGTCTCACGGCTGTTGTTACTCATTAAATCATGATAATACAATATGACAGCACAGCATCAGTATCGCTTCCCTATAGGATCTTGCTTTCTCCTGGACAGAAACAGCTGAGTTGACAAAGATACGGTGGCTTGCCAGCCTACCCTGATGTCTGGGATCAGACACACCACCTTCATCTAGTGCCAGAACCTCCATCAAAACAATTTCCTTCTGCATCCTCAGCTGGCAGGAATTTTCTTGAGTTTCCTCAATAAACTTCACATAAATATAGTGCAGATCTTTGAAAATGAGTCCCTGAGACCCAGGTAGAGGAATCTCTTGTTGGAAGGATGAGATGGCCCCAGGATGTCTGGAGCCCATGGGGCTGGTCCCACCTGTGACCAGGGTGCCTGTGGCCATCCTACTTGGTTCTCATCAGCCTCCCCACTCCCTGCATGGCTACTGCCAATGGTCCCTGTTCCCATAGTGGCTCCAGCCTTGCACCAAGCTCTTCCTTTCACCCATACTGGTTCATGTGCGTGCCTTAGGAAACTTAATCCACATTAAATAGAATAAAAAAGCTGAGTACCTTCACAGATGACACCAGCGTCTTCCTTGTGGTAGCAATCGTGCGTGCCCAGCCCCCTGTGAGAGCACTGCTCCAGGGAGGACTCGTCCCCTCCACATACCACGTTGTCCAGGAGAATATTTCCTGTGCCCTCCCCAAAAAAGGCATCAGTTCTGGCTGAGACAGCATCTCCGCAGCCCAGCTGCCTGCACACAACCGTGGCGTCCTGCACGTCCCAGCCGTCATCGCAGACGGTTGCCCAGCTCCCGTTGTGAAAGACTTCGAGGCGTCCTGAGCACGCGTCCTCTCCGTTCACCAGCCTCAGGGACATTTCTTGAGAAAGCAAAGGGAAACGTGTGGGCACCTGGCAGCTTCAGAAATGGGCTTTCCAGGTGCGTTTGTCAAATAGCAAAAGCCAACTTTCTTGTGTTGCACAGAAAGTTGGCAAAACTATGAAATTAATCTTATTGTAACAAACTACATCGTGTCAGTTCATCAGCTGTCAGAAATCCTTATTCCCATAGTGTGCCATAAACACTTGGGAGTAAACATAAAGATTTTTTTTCTCTTTCAGGCTCTGATGTGTATGTCCATAGCTAACATAACCATTCCCATTGATACCAGTATTCTTTAACACCAGAGCTCTTAGATAAACCTCAAGTATCTCAGAAACTCATCTTACACACATTTACTTGCTTTGAAAATTTTACCAGTAAAATTTTTGCCTTCCTAACAGTGCTTAAGTTGCTACATAAAATATATCATCTGTGAAAGCTTTGCAAGACCCATCTAGGGAAAACTCACCGGCTGGAACGGGCTCTGTTGTGACTGGGGTGGTAACAGGCTCTAGGAAAGGAAACAGAAAAGTGGATTTCTAGTTTTACTACAGAGGATGCTTAATAACATTCTTCAGTTACTATGTGAAAGAAAGAAGAGAAAGCAGTAGTGATGTGGAGCAACCTGTTCATCTCCGGAAGCATCATCAGCAAAAGGGAGAAGGCTGCAAACAGTTTTTTAAATGTCAGATGTTAATGGTTGCAGTTACCTTGCAGGTATAATATTTAATTGTTTTGGGTGTGGGACATACTCACCAAAGAGACACATGTCTGCTTGGGTCACGAGTTTAACTCCACTTGTACTGAAAAATCTAACTCTATTAAAAATTGTCTTTGATTTTTCCCCAGGGAAAGGTATCCCAGGATAAGCTGTAAACCAGCATTCTTTGTGCCAGGTCTCATCCTTTCAGCCAGTTACGTTTCACCTCAGTCGTTTCAGGCTCATAGAGTGCCCACCACATGGATTAGCTTTGCCCGTGGACCACCACTTGCCCTGGCACTGGCCGCACAGAGGCTGCAGTGACTCAGGCTCTCCAGCTACACACGTGTTTCCAGTGAGAATAAAGAATTGCTGGAAAACTGGGAATTGATTTGGAGAAATCCTAAAGGAAGCTACTAAAAATAGTTTCCTACTAAATACAAGAAAAGACAATTTGATTTACTAGCCATAGTTCATAATTTGTGGGAAATCAGGACTCGAAGAACTGAAATATAATAGTGATGATGTAAAGCTATGATTCAAATCGTAATGCATGAAGCAGTCAGGTAATAGAGTAGGAAATGCATCAGGTAAGTTTGACAATGATATTCCAGGTAGCCAAAGGATTTGAGAATTAAAACATTAAACCACAAACCTGTGTTTAAAAGCAAAAAGAAAAAATGTGGTAAAACACAGAAATTCTCACAGGTCTTGGTTTCATGCCTGAAACGATTCCACTGATGTAAACAAGTTGTGCATCAAAATCCTAGCTGCAGGCAGGCTTGCGTTGCTCGTGAAGCAATAGTTGATGAGAGATGCACTAGCGTACCTGTGCAAATGACACTGGCATCCTCTTTATGCTGGCAGTTATGGACAGCAGTCCCTCTGTGGGAGCAATCCCACAGGTTGTCTTCATCCCCTCTGCACTGCACGTCATCCAGGAAGATGTTCCCAGAGCCTGGACCGAACTGGGCTTCTGACAGAGCCACCAGAGCTGTTCCGCACCCCAGCCTCCTGCACACCACCTCGGCGGCCGCCAGGTCCCAGCCGTCGTCGCAGACCGTTCCCCAGCTGCCGTTGTGATAGAGCTCGACGCGGCCTGAGCACTGCCCGTCCCCGTCGGCCAGGCGCAGGGACAGAGCGGAGGTGTCTGCGGCAGAGAAAGCATGGTGCCTCGGTGGGGTTCATCTGAGACATGGGCACAGCCCATTTACTGCCCAAGGACCACCCCAGGGAGGACGGGAGCAGGTAGCCCCCAACATAGTCTGGTCCGACAAAGGATCCTCCCCTGAATTTCAGAGCTGTTGTAGGATAGATATAAATGCTCGAAGCCATCTTTCTGCATGCAATACCCCATGGGCATGGACATAGTGCTCTTCCACAATGTGTCAGCCTCTGGGGAAAGCTCTGGCTGACACCTCTGCCCATTTTGTGCAGCAAAGGCAAGGCTTGCTATGTTTTCTTTACCATCCTTCTCATCTATACTTCAGTGCTGTCTAAAGGACGAACGTAAATACCCAGAGCCAACCTTTTCCTTGGATACCTTGAGATCTAAGGGGTATGGATTGGGGTGGGTTTTTTTTTTTCCTTCCTTTAAATAATTCCTGGTTCAACTTCTTTTCCCATCCTTGCTAACCCTCATGGCAGGGGGTTGGAACTTGATGATCTTTAAGGTCTCTTCCAACCCAAACCATTCTATGATTCTGTGACAGATGGTTGGCACAGCATCATTTCCCCAGAACAGCAGCAGAGCCATTTCTACAGACCAGGCTCATTTCTGAGAGCTGGGTACTTACAGTGTACTCCACACATTTATCTCACTTTCAGAGGGAAAGGCTTTTAAAGATCTGAAGTTCCAAATTAGTTTTATGGACCTGGAGTGTATTTTTCTTTCAGAGAAAGAAATCAGAGACACCACCAACATAATAATTTAGTTTCTCCTAGTTTGTGGCCATCATAAACTGTACAAAGTATACACACCTGTCTTACTCCTTGGTGGGTCAGTAATTATGAGGTTTTCATTTTGGGACATTTTGCTGTCACCTGGCAGCCATTTGTAACCAGCTAATGCACATCCATTCAGAGCGGGGGACATGTTTCCTAGGACTCTTTCTCCTTAGTTCCTTTTTGCTGACCATGATCAAAGCTCCTTCCATCCGAGTACCATGCTTATCATTTACCTCTGCAAAAGCTGGCTGTAAAGACATGCCAGCAGCAATGTGCTTGGCTCACTTCCCAAGAGCTAGGTCTAAACTTCCACAAGACTGCGAAATATGATTTCGGGGAGAGAAAAAAAAAGAAATTAAGACAAAAGATAGTTAACCTGTTGATCCAGGCATTGAGTATTCACCAGCAATGGTGAAATGCGTTAAATAAAAAATTTAATAATAGAACTATATTAGCTATCTAAATCCAGGTGGGAATAGTGAGAAAGAGGCAGATTAAAAAATCTAGATCCAGATCCTGACTTAAATTGCAGTCAGAAATAAATTTGTTATGATTCAGCTGATATTAAAAATGGCTTTGTTGGGAAGGAGGCATCTTCCCTATTAAAGTTCCTAAGTAAATTAAGTGTTTCATTAATCTGAAATATGAGCATCAATCTGAAATTTTTGGGGGCACTTTTTCAGAAAATAAAGGACTGATTAACTAACAGTTTCAGGAATCTTTAATATATTCTTGTAGGGGTGTCTGCAGACAGCTGAAAGGCAACTTATTACTTTCAGCAAATTAATAAAAGGAAATAATCTATATTTGTGTCTCTTCAAAGACAATGCTTTGTGCTTAGTTAAGTGTAGAATATAATAAAAGAATCAGTGAGCACTTAGTTTTCCTGAGACTTTAGCACAAACAAATGAAAGTAATGAGATATTAATTATAGAGGAGCCTTTTTTCCCTTTAACCATTGAGCGGCATCCCTGTCACACACAGTATGTGTAAATAAGATGGAATTGTTTGCTCAGCCACTTGGTTGAGTAGACACAGGCAAAGCACTTAATAGTTACAAGGACATAGTTGCATAACAATGAGGGAATTATTAGGAAACCAGGTATGCACCATGTATTAAGTTCTTTAAGCCAGTGTAATAGTCCAAAGATGACTCATTTAAGAAGTTTGCATTCAGCTTCTGAAAGCCAAATAAATAAAAGTAAATCTTGAGGGACCACGTTAATTTCTCTGTTTCACTGGTATGTGCAAAGAAGTGCAAACTTCTTTTGTTCAGTTGGAATAGAATCCAAGCTGAATAAGTAAGGAGAGCAGCAAAATCTGATCAAAGCTCTGCAAAGTAGTCTTCAAAGTAAGAAAGTTTCCGTTTCTATCCTTTTGAAAGTGAAATAACTGGCAGAGAAAAGGTAGGGAAACACTGACTGAAATATTCTTTTCACTGTGCTGAAGATTTGTCTGTTCCTAATGAAGAAGTTTGTAGAAATTAGAGTGGATAGGTCCTAGATCTTGCACATGAAAATATTGTTCAAAATAAGGTTAATGGCTGGAGCAGTCAGCAAATCTGTGCTACACTTTCCATTGCTGCTCCCACTGGTATTGAGTCCCAGCTCTGAACTTCTGACAGCATAGATAAGGCTGTAGAAGACAAGCAGCGTTAAAGAAAGGTTGTAAAGAGAGGAATTATCAGTTGCCTTGCTAATTGCTGGTCATGTTATGCAGCATCTCGGACTAGCAGATGTCATGGGTGTGAAACAGGTACCGCTCCGTGGATGAGACCCTCAGCCCCTGCCACTGAAACTGGAGGGGGGGTACAGACAGAGTGGCAGAAGGAAAGGCAAGAGCCATGCGCTCTCTGGAGGACATGGTGAGAATACAAAGTGATCTTCATAAACGGAATAAATGGCAAAAATCAGCAAGATGAACTTCAAGAAGGACAGGTGGAATGGGTTGCTCATTGGAGAGAGAAAATTCCCACACAAAGGCAAAATCATCCTTTCAGAAGCAAGAGAAGGGCTGTGGAAAGACTGGAACTTGGTAATGCTCTGGTGAGCCTGTCCAGTGTCAGTCTTGCTCTGAGAGTCATATGTGGGAGCTACTAATTCTCCTTGGTGCTAAAGAGACCTCAGCTGTTCATTTAAGAAAGATAGTGATAATGGGGAGAGCTTGGATGAATGAATCAAGAATGTAATAGGCTTGAAAAGCATGAGCTCTGAGGAAAGCTTTAAAGAGCTGATTTTAGCTTATGTGGGAAGAGTCTTTCACTAGTCTGGAGAGGGCTCTAAAGAGGATGGCCACCAGTTCCTCTGCTCCCCGCTGTCTGCAGAGAGCTAAGGCAGCAACTGTAGGCAATACAGAAAATGTCCATCAATGAAAGAAGTTTGAATATAGAGTCCAACACATTTTTGTGTGCGTTTTGAAAATATCTGTCAAGTTCAGAGGCAGAGTACACATAGTCATCTCCCCTGGTGGAGATTTGCATAAGAGTTTAGAGCCTGCTGTTGCTCCCAATTCCTGCTTCATCGGATGAGGAAGTCGGACAGCAGCTGATGGCTGATGCGAAATGTCCCTGTCTGGTGAAATTGTGGTTTTAAGATTTTTTTAATATCTAAGAAATTATTTCATAGATTGATTAAAACAGCTCATTCATTAAAAACTTGCAAAGTGTCTTGAAAAAATAGATGCCAGAATGAGAGTTGTCCAAGCAAAGAGAATGGGGAAAAGGTGGGACATGAGCACACACATTGCACTGAAGAAGGGCTGGACCAAAGCTCTGTGTAAGTTAATTACCCCTCCCTAACGGGGACCACTAGTTGGTGCTGAGGATGAGTACGTGAACAGGATGAGTACATGGGCGGGAGAAGCACACAAGGTGTGCTCAGGTTCGTGTCCTAGCCACCCCCTTTTTGCAGCTCAGCACTTTCTGAGCCCCAAATGGAGCTTTGCATGGTGATGCAGGACACAGGCATTTTTGCTCCTAACACTGCTTGTGTCTGGTTTTTCCTTACCTTCGCTCAGCGCAGACAGTGCTGCTGGAGTTGGCGGTTGCTCTGTACTGTCTGTGCCTGGGGCAAACGTGGTCACGTCTGTTTCTGTGACAGCGGAACCTGTTGAAGCTCTGAAGTCAAAAACTATAGGAACAATGAACGATAATGACCAAACATGAGTATGAAACAGAATTAAAGTTTTTGGTTAATATGAGCTGGATTTGTCATTTTGCTAAAAAACATTAAAAATAGAGGAAGCTTTGTTTCAGAGAGGAAACATGGACTTGTCCCTTGCACTTCTACCTGAGCCTCTGTCACCACATAACACCATGATAAATAAATATTTAAAATTTGAAGTTTTAAGCTTCTAAGCTAGTGGAGAATGAAGCAATGTGTTCTTAGCCCTCTTTACTGAAACTTCGTTGCATACATTTTCCATACAACGTGGCTTTCCCTTAGCTCACTTAGATTTTGCAGCTGTAATTTTGTCTTTGTAAGCTGTGCTTTGGATTTGGGGTGTAGATATTGCCTCAGTCTCTTAGTAGATGCAAAAGAGGAAAACAGGAGTGTTGAAGGGACTGTGACAGAGCTGAGGAAACACATTATTGGAGAGAAACATCAATCTCCTTGGTGACAGAGTCCAACAGGGATGAGTAGGAGAGGACAGAGAACCAGCCTCTGTACTGTGTCAGGTGGTGGCATCTCCATCTCTAGGACTAGGAAAGAATCGTCAAAGGTTATTGACTCTTTAAGATGAGGATGTCACAATCTGATTTACTCATTGATGCTCTCCACAGTAAAGTGTCCGCTTTTGCCCAGACAAAAGCACAGGTATTTGGGCACTTCTGATGATTCCTAAATTGTACAAACAGCACAAGCAGCTGAAAGCCCCAAATTGTTCATAGGTACACATCTCCCAAAGTTTGAGAGCCCAATATTTTAGAAAGGAAAATTTTAGAAGCTGGACTCTTTCTCCACCGAGATTATTAGATTAGTTTAAGATCAGTTGACTGATCTTAAAACTTTATGCAGTTATTCTAATCCTACCAATATAATCTGTATTAAACGAACTTAAACACAATTATTATTAGATTTTATGCTGTAAGGTCAGTTCTTACCGTCATGAAGTGTGTATTCATAAAGATCTCCTGCAGGTGGGCTGGGTGAGATGGATGGTTCTGCGGTATTTTCCGAAGCTGTGAGAAGAAGGCAGAAGCACAGAAACGAAGGGGAGAGAGCATTCAGGTAAGGCTGAATGACTGAAATCAACTCTCGATGACTTTAATTGCCTTCAGCTTTGTGGAAAAGGGTGTCTGTCCACATCCACTGACATAGCTCAGAAATGGATCTTCATGTTAATGCTTTGCATTACAAGCGTAAAAGAAGTTTCTGACTTCTCTCCCCAGGAGTGAGGAAAGCAAAAGGAGTGTGAGGAGCAAATACAGAAATGAGTGCTGTCATTTGTCAGTAACATTTATTGGTGTATAATTTCCCAGCACTGCCTTGTGGTGTGTTTTTTCCACTTCATCCTGGACTAGCTTGATCAGAAAGCCCAAGCCTGGAGGCTTATAAATTGTTTAGGATCTGCATAGATAATGTTACAAATGGTGAGAAACATAGACTGGGTGGCTTTTTCTCTGAGTCATGCTTCTTAAAGAAATAAAAATAAAAATAATGATTCCCTTCAGATTCTGTGGTTCAAATTCTGCACCATTCATCTTCCCTGGAAGCAGGCATTGCATATAGCGTTTGCAGCTCCCAACTGGAGTAGTGTCAGTGGTGTTAGTGACAGCCTGCCTGTGCTGCCACAAAGCCAGCAACTTGGTGCCAAGCAGGTGAAGTTCATAGATAAGCACTAACTGCACTGAAAGATGGTGATTTTGCAACATTTCTTAGCATCTCCATTGATGTCCCCTCTGAACCAAAACTTACAACCGTGTTTTTCTAACATGCTGCATGTTGTGCCCATGTTCTTTACCTGTCTGCAGCGTAGTCAGGGTTTCTGATGTCCTTTCCTCTGTGATGGCGGTGGAAGCAACGGAGGCATCTGTGCTACCAGAGGAGGCTATAAGGATGAGAAATTAAATGGTTACGAGTAGCAATTAAAAACATTTTTGCTTTACAAAATCATAAGTGTAGTATTTATAGCTACAAGCTCAGAGGTGTTAATCATTAAATGCATATATTCCTGATATGTCCTGCCAGCCTGATATTTTTAAAGTGAAGATGTTGTAAGGGGGTTGTTTCTTCACAGAGGTGTTTAATTTGTAGTTGTCTGCTGTGAATATTTTACAGATTTACATGGTCACATCTTAATCTATCTGAAAAAACCCAGATTAACAGAGTATTTTCTTAGATAGCAATTGCAAAATGGCTATTCTTACCTCCATAACCTGTGGTTGGGATTTCAGGAGCTGAAGTGTCGCTATCCTCTGTGATAACAGTGGACCCAGAAGCTGTATCTGAGGCCAAGAGAAAGTTGAGGAAATAAAAAGAAGAGGAGAAATTGTCAGCAACTAAGAGTGAACTAAAATCTTGATAAAAGTAAGTAGACTTGGGCTTTGCAGGACAGTGAATCAATGCATGGCCTTTTATTTTTGCTGAAAAAAAGACTTTCACCTTCATTTAATATTTAATAATAAAGATAGTAGATGTTTCTGACTGCATTCTTTTACTACTAGAGATGCAACAGTCATTTGGAAAGGTGCAAAGTGGCCATTGTAAGAGGAAATAAGGAATGAATTTGTTTTGTGCTTTGGCGGTGACTTTCAGCATGCAAGTATACCTCACCTTCCTCGAGGGTTGTCACAGTCCCTGGAGCAGATGGTGTCTCGGTCCCTGCTGGGCTTGAGCTGGGTGCAGGGGAGGAATCTGTGGAGATGGCCAAGAAATGGTGGGGAAATATGTTACTAAACAGACTCCCCACCATGTAAAAGAAAAGATGTTTCAAGGTTCTGTGAAGTCATTAATACTTCAGGCTTCACGGAAAAGAAAGTCAGTGCCTTGGACTTTAACTTTTGGTGATGTGGCTCAGAAGAACATCTTCTGATCAGTAATTATAAATGGATTTGTTAGTAATTATATGTGAACTTGGGAGACTGATGGAACCAGTGCACATCTCAGCAGGGTAGAAAAACACCTTATTTCCATGCTACATTTGCACTAACTGAAGAACCAGGAAAAATTAAAGAAGATTATTAAAAGAATTGAAGGTGAAGAAAATATCCAGGTAAGAGTGCCTCAGATGAACTGATTGTAAAGATCTCACCATACATACATGCAATCTTGAGAACTGTATATGCAGGTAGACTCAATCACATGCCCATTTTCCCTCCAGCCACATTTTCCTATGAAGATGGTGTTGGCCATTGGCTCTTCCAAGGCTAATAACATGCAGAGCTATAAATATTTTTACTGAATTCCCAGTGTTCCTCCTGTCTGCTCTAAACAAATTGCATATATGGCTCAAAATTTCCACACATGAGATTTACAGTTTGTTTTATTTCCCTTGCCTGTGCCAGCAGAAGACAAGGGTTCTGTGGCAGATGTCACAACAGTGCCGTCTGTGGAAAATGTTGATGCAGAAGTGGAAGCTGAGGGTGTTGTTGAGGATGCTGGAAGTGAGAAGAAATAAACCGTTAGAGAACTGTAGGAATGGTCATGAGAACTGAGACAGGGATGAAATCATTTAACATCAGGTTTTGTGCAGCACTGATCAGACCTTAACTTCTGGTCGTGTGAGTGAGATCTCTGTCAATTAACAGCAGCTCTAAATTAACTTCAGAGATGTTTGCCATCAGTGCAGAAATAGATGGTCCGAGCATGCAGCAGAAGTTCAGGGCTACTGAAGTGTGTTTTTGCGGGTTAAAGTCTTGAGGAGAAATGATTTTGGGAACCACTCTTGCGATTTTGGGAACCACTCTTGCACTTTTGGGCACCACTCTTGCACTTTTGGGCTACATATGATCGAAAACTGCATTTTAGTCCTCACTCCTCTGTGGCTGTGTATTATGAAGAGCATTAGTAATTAACTCAACACTAAAAAACCCCAGGAAATATGACTAACGTCCATACTTCAAGGTTTCCATGGTGCTATGATTATTTCAGGAACAGTAAAAAAGCCAGGAGTCGGAAACTCAGACCTGGTGTGTTAAGACTTGCCTTGTGTTTTCCCTAATTAGTAGCAGATAAGTGGCAAATACAGTTCCTATGAGCAATCCAAAGAACAAAAATAATGTTACAGTGGATGAGTAAACAGTAATTTGGAGCAACAAGATTAATTTGGAACATTTACCTTTCTAGAACGCTGCGTGCCAAGGAGCTGTAATCATATGATTTTTGAGTTACAAATTAGTCTCTGAGCACTTGAGTAGCCTGTGAAGAGCTAATGGATTTATGTTTCAAAAGCCCTTCCTTACCTGTTGGTGCAACCCTGTAGTGTGCCACACCCATGAATGTGGAAAAAAAGCAAAAATTTACTTTTGTTTTGCAGCTATTTCTATTGAATCACAATAAGCCCATTCTAGCTATGCAATCTTTGATATTAGTTGTTATTTTCAATTCAGACATGCCCAGTTCATATCTGGATTGGCTTCTGTCTCCACTTGACTGGTTGTCTCAGGAATGGCCTGGAATCAGGTGTTGGCTGAAGTGGTCCTGAACCAGCTTCTTTTCATCACTTTCATACTCAGTGCTTGCTGCTACCAACCTTGGTATTTTCTCCAGGACATCCTTTTGTTCCTCGATCAAGCAGACAAGCCTAAATACAAGGAGCCTGCACATATGCACAGCTCACCTCTAATCTGATTTGCAAGCTCTGCTCTTGCATTTATGGTCAACAGGAAAATCCAATGAGATTTTTAAAAGTGTATAATTATTATTATTATTATTATTATT